GGGAGGGAGAAGCATTCACAGGTTTATTACCAAAGAGTTTTATTCGCCTATTCTCCTTTCCCTCCAATCCTACCTAATAGTCCTGACCTCTAATAAACATCATAAGGTTCAAATCTCATGGTTCTTTGTTATATGACCTGGAAAGAGAGAGAAAAGAGAGGAAGAATGGAAGCAAGAAGTGTCATAATTGACGTGGTGGAGGAAGGATCCAGATCCATAGCTTCTTCATAGATGGGTACCTAACCTGAAACTTACTCGTGGAAAGTTGCTTTGAGGACTCTGAAAACATAAGTAAATTGCCCGTAATCAAATAATCGAAACAGCACTAGAGGTCTTTCTGATGTTGAGATCACTACATCAGACTGCCTTTTAGATTCATCAGTAATGAAATTAATACCAAGCTAATGTTTTGTTTTTCTTACCTCACTGAGGAAACTCTGATTCACTAGGTCAGCTTTGTTTTCAAACTAATTTGGCCAGAGAGCACGTTGAGTTTGAAATACATTGACAGAAGCCATAAATACTCATGGGAGAAGTCTGGGGAGTCTTCAGGTATGGAATTCTCTTCCTCCCAAGCCTCCTCTCTGAAAGAGGAGGCCACAGAAAAAAAATTCTACGTGTATAAGTATTTTTAAGAATGCAGTTTCAGAAATAATATTTTTTCAAAAAAATGTGTTCCTAGCATCAACATTTCCTCAAGGAAAGAACTGTAGAGCTCTGTGAAATACAGTTTGGGAAACACTGCTCTATGTCATGAATGTAGGACTGGGGATGGGAGACCTGAGTTTGAGTTACAGTTCTGTCACTTATAAGCCAAATGACCTTGATCAAGTTACTTAATGGTTATTGAGCCTCAGTTGGACCAGATCAAGAGTTCTTTACACGTGGTCTGGGAACTTTAAAAAATATATTTTGTTAATTACATTTTAATAAAAATGGTTTGCTTTGTAATCCTATGCATTTTATTTTATTAATTTAAAAATATTATTCTGAGAAAAGGTTTCACAGGCTTTAACAGACTGCCAATGGAGTCCATAACACAAAAAAAGGTTAAGATCCCATGGCTAGATGATCTTTAAGGCCCTTTCCTGTTCTGACATACTAAGATTCATTTAGTAGCCTAATAGTCCAAAAGACTCTCAGGCTTTTCTCCTAGTTCTGTATTATATTAACTCATGGCATGTATATTTCTTTCTAGAATTTTATTGTGAGTACTAGAAGCCTCTTTGGAATAGAACTTTGATTGTTCAGTCTTTTATGTTGTTGCTTTATGAAGGTGTTAAAAATGCCCCTTTAAAAGCCACGACTGGCAAATTGTTTAGTTAAATTGTGCGTGGCAGGCTCCTATGAATTCTTCGCACCCATTACAGTTTCCCTGTAATGTGCCATCATCCTTGAGAGATTACACTTTAGATACTTGAAGTGTTTATCCAGAATGATGCAGCCCGATTATATGGTCCACTTGGAAGCAAACATCCCCAGCAGCAACATACCCAGTCTGTGATCAAATACATAGGGAGATATGCTGATTGTAACATCCCCTTCATTTCCACATAATAACAGTAAATGTTTAAGGGGCTGCTAAACAATAAAAAGGCTCTTTTCAAATGAAGCCCATTTTCTTGAATGTTGTGATTGGATGGTTGGATTATAGCTATTACATTTTATAAATGGGAAGACCAAATATTGCTGTGGGGCAGTTAAAGTCAATAGAATATTTTAGGGGCAGAGACCTAAGACTTGGTGACTGAAAGGAAGAATATCACAAAACATATAATGGCATTTTGGACTTCTCTTAAAAGCGTACGGAGCCTCTGAGAATGAGGGGAACAAGGGAACATTTTGAGAGGCTCTTTCTTGATTTCTTGGATGAACCTAATGAAAATATCAAAATCCATCACACACAAATATCATTATCCTGAAGCCATCTTTATCACTGTTTAGTTCTGAGCTCTAAGAAGACTTCCTTTGCTATTTCCTTAATTAGTAATTTTATTGCAAATCCATATAGGAAAATTAGAGCTTAGGAGGCTCCCTCTCCTAATGAAGATCATCAACTGTGTTCCACAATTTGCAGTGTTAGAAAGCTACCTGGACCACTGAGAAATTTAGTAATTTACTGAAGGTAACATAGCCATGATGTGTCAAAGACAGGACTTAAAACATAGGTTTTCCTGATGTAGATGCCCTTCCTCTGGCCACTATGCCATACTTCCTCTCTGCATGTTTATATTCCTCTAATTAGTATCTATGGGAAGGTTTTTATGTTCTTGTCTTTAACTAATATCCAAAGGTATCAGAAATGAATGCAATTAGCTGACATTAGGAATTTGTGAGCTCTAGCAACCCTATCTTGAACTTCAACTTCATGAAAGGGCAGTTTTTGTATTATGTGTGGTATGGTAGAAAGAACAATAGATTTTAGAGAGAAGAAATCTGGGTAGGTTAAAATTCTGACCTTGACATTTGTTATAGGTGTGACTTTGGTAGAGTCATAGATGGCTCCTAGTTAGATTTATAGATGACAGAAAGTGGATGTAGCTATCATTTTGTGTTGGAAATAGGATCCAAAGAGGTTTAGAATGGTTGAGAAAATATAAAATGTCAATTAATTGATATGGGAAAAGTCTTAGTCTTGAATTTAATTTAATTATAGGGACAAAATGAGGAAGGCAATAGTTCATATTTAAAAACTTTGCATACAATTAAAGACATCCCATTTTGATCAGGACATTGACTGAGAAAATTCGTGCAAGTATGTAATTACGATAGGGAGGACTGGATTCCATGTCAAAGGAGAATCAGTAGAAGAAACTGGGAGGGGGCCATTGCCTGTGAAGAAAGGTTTCAAGGAGGTAGAAATGAGAACTATTTTCAAGTATTTGTCCTGTGAAAGAGAAATTCAACCTGTTCTTCTTGGTCCCTGAGGGCAGAACTAAAATAACTGAGTGGAAGACACAAGGAGGTAGATTTAATTTGATGTAAGAAAAACTGCTTAAATGAAACTGTCCAAAAATGGAGAAGACAACCTTGGGAAGTAGTGAATTCCTCATTGCTGTGAGTCACTGCATTATATATTTAAAGCTGGAAGGGACCTTTGAGATAATTAAATATGATTCTTCCATTTTATAAATCAAGAAGCAGAGACTGCACAAGGAGTAAGATACAGAGCTAGAATTTAAGTTTCCTCAACTTTAAGTTAAGCAGTCCTTCCACTGTCCCACATGGCTTTCCTCTTGAAACTGAGCATGGGGACCACTTTTCAAAGATGTTGAATGATCTTATAGAGAGAATTTTTGTTCAAGTACTGAATGGAATAGGATTCATTTGTTTAGTTTGTAATAAATTGTTAAATAATTATGTGAAGAAAATTATATCAAATATTATTTTTAAGCTATAATGGAGCTGAGAAATAATCTAGTCCATCCTTTCTTTTTTTTAGATGGGGAAACATAGATTTAAGAGATTTAACCAGTCACACAGCTAGTTTATAGTCAGAACCTACCATTCCAACTCTATTTCCATTACAGCAGGTTGCCTTAGATGTGGTTAGGACTTTATATAATTCCTTACTACAAAGTGATGATACATGTCATCATTTATTAGAGAACATTTCTAAAGTAGAGAAGATTCTGCTTTTAGACTGTGGTTAAATGATTACTTATTTAGTGAAAAATTCTGCTATGGTATATCTAATCTTTTGTATTTTGTGTGATATTTTATAGGTTTTATTGAAGTGCTCTCATTTTGTATGACTATAAGAAAAAATAACAAGTACTATACATCTTTCAAAAAATAGTTTAATCTGGGTGTGGTGGCACACATCCCAGCTCTTTGAAAGGTGGATCTCTTGAACTGGGGGGTTCTGAACTGCAGATGGGCAATGTTAATCAGATATCTGTATGAAGTTCAACAACGATATGGTGAGCTTCAGGGAGTGGAGGCCACCAGAATGCCTATGGAAGGATGAATCAGACCAGGTGGGAAACACAGTAGGACAAATTCCTGTGCCAATTAATAATGGGAACAGTGTGTGAATAGGCCCTGTACTTCTAGCCTGAAGGAGATGGGGAGACCTAGTTTTGAAAAAAAAAGTTTTGATATAGCAAATTATAAGAGAAAACAGATGAGTTGATTATAAAAATAATTTTTTTCAGAGCCAAATTCAAGACCAAGATTGATGTGTGTATCTAAACTATAAATCGGAGTGTGTATATGTGTGATATTAAATATTTCTGATGCATATTTGACAGTCAAAATGCATAAGGAACTGAAATGCATTCATAAGAATTTGAGCCATTCATCCTTAATTAAGAATTTAATGGATATGGAATAGTTTTGACTATTAACTTTAACAATAATCACATAACAATAACAATTAAGCTTAACAATAACCACGTGAAAAAAGGTTCATAATTTCAGAGAAATGAAAATTTTAAATAAAGGAGATAATACACCTGACAATCATCAAATTTGCAAAGATGATAAAATTAAGTATTGGTGCACTTGTGGCAGAAGAGGCATGGTATTATTCTGCTAGTAAAGTTGCGAGTTGGTCAAATGGTATTCTATAATAAGAATTGAAATAATGGGCATATTCTTTGAGCCAATGACCCTAAAGTTGTCATTTGAAGTTTTAAATAAAAAAAAAATAGCTTCAAGTGTCTTGGGAAAGATAATATCCTTTTAAAAGTTTAAATTAGATGTTGCAAGATACTTGAAAAGAGTCATTCACCCATCATCATGATTTTAGAACATTCCATCTAAATACTGCTTTTGTTGAACATTACTTTTACTCTGTGATTTCAGAGAAATCACACTATCATTGTCTCTTTTAGGGGAAGTAGAATGAACTTAACTGAATTGATCGCTTCTGCTAATTGAAAACTTCTAATATCTTTTATCCATAAACACCCAACACTGTATCGTTTTAAGTTAAATTTTTTTCACTGTATCTTTACTAAGTGGTTGGTTATGAAATATTTTTTTTCCTCACCCAGGTTGGGAAAATCAGGAAGACTGCTGCTCGGAAAAGAGAATATCATGTCCTCTTCATGGTGGTCATGGCTGTCATTTGCTACCTAATTTGCTGGGTACCATATGGGATGATTGCATTACTTGCTACATTTGGCCCCCCAGGAGTGGTGTCACCGGTGGCCAATATTGTACCATCAATTTTGGCAAAGAGCAGCACTGTATGCAACCCAATCATCTATATACTTATGAACAAACAGGTAAAGCTCAAAGTAATTACTTCTTTAAACCCAAATGAGCATCTCAAAATGTCTTAACTGCTTGGTCATTAAGTATCTAAGGTTTACTCCCCATATACACCCTTTTTGCCAAGCCCATGAAAATAGAGTGGCAATAAAATAATAGAAATCATTAAGACCTTCAGTTTGCAATGACATAAATTTGGGAGACAAGCAAAGGCTACTTTAATCTAAATGAGATATTTTCAGGTGAGTGAGGAGTCTATCCATGATCATTTTTATGAAGCATATAATAGCACAGAATTTCCTAGGGCCAGGATTTTTCTGCACAGGTGTAGGAGTCTGTTTCATAGACATTTTCATTGAATTGTTGAGTTTTACAACCAGAAGAGGTCCTAGAAATCATCTACTCATCAGAAAATCATTAATCTGGGATTAGAAGGAACCAAGGTCATTTAATTAAACCCCTTCTTTTCATAGAAAAGGAAACTGAGGCCCAGAGAGAAGCCACTTGTCTAAGGCCACACAGATAGTTAACAACTGAACCAAGACTCTAATCCAGGTTTTCCTACTCTGGTATTCTTCCTATCACAACACCATTTCCTCTCTATATCTTTTTTATATTTTAAATTTAACGCCAAATAAAATGAAAATATTCATATGCAAAGGAGAACTATCAATCAGTCTATAAGTATTTATTAAGTACTTGCTATGTTCTAAGCAAAGGTAAAAACAGTCCCCAATCTTGGGAGTTCAATTTCTAATAAGGGAGACAACATACAAACAAACAGGTACATAAAAGATATATATGGAATAGAAAAAGGGTAGCCTCAGGAAGCAGTCATTGTTTGCAAGGAGGATGGAAGAAGCTTCCTGTAGAAGATGGTATTTGAGTTGAGTTTTGAAGGAAGGTGGTGGTGGTGGTGAGGAAAAAGAATATTATTGGCACGAGGAGACCATCAGTGCAAAGAAAGAGAAAGAATGTTGTGTTCAAGGAACTGAAAGTAGACAATATAGTTGGATAATAGACTTCATAGAGAGTAATATAGTGAAAGAAGACTGGAAAGGTAGGCAGGAGCTACGTGATTAAGGGCCATAAGTGACAGAGAGAGAAGTTAACCTAGAGGTTGAATTGAGTTTATTGTGTAAGGATGTAACATGCGCAGACCTGAGTCTTAGGAAAATCACTTTTACAGCTGAGCAGAGGAAGGATTGGAGTGGTGGGAGATTTCAGGCAGGAAAACCAAAAATATAGTCCAGGAAAGAAAAAGAGGATTGTTTGTGCAGCCATAAATCTATATCATATATAGCTTGCTTCTCCCTCTAAGGATATAACAAATTCAATAATTTTTAAAGTCATTCTGTTTATCTGTATTTCCTATTGGCTTTCCTTCTGTTCCATCCTGTGCATTTTAAAATTGCTTCAATTGCCTTATCTCATATATATATATATATGTGTGTGTGTGTGTGTGTGTACATACATGCATGTATATACACACATGTATATACACATATACATACATATACACATATATACATATACATACATATACATATATACATATGCGTGTGTGTATATACACACATATATACACACACATATACATTCACACACGTATATGAAAGTTTGGAAACCCTATTGCTAACTTCTTTCCTTAAATTGAGAGAAACAAAAATAAAAACATTTTATCAAATATGCATAGTCAAACAAGATGAATTCTCATATTGCCCATGTCTGAACATTTATGTCTCATTATATAGAATTTGTCCCTTTATGGTCAGGAAATGGGTAGCATGTTTCTTCATTGGTCTTTTGGCTGGTCATTGCAGTATCAGAGTTCTTAAGTCTTTCAAAGTTGTTTTCCTTTGCAATGTTTTTACTATTGCTGAAATTCTTTTCTAGATTTTGCTTATTTCACCACCATCCTCCCATTACCCCAGGTGTCATTCTTGACTGTTCACTACTCACCTCCTATATGCAATCTGTTGCCAAGAGCTGCTAGTTTCACCTTTGCAACATTTCTTAAACATGTTCCCTGCCACCACCATGATGCAGGCTTCATCTCCTCAAGGACTACTGCAGCAGCCTGATTGGTTTGTCTGCCACAAATTTCTATTCATTCCGGTCATTGCTCCACTCTTCCATCAAAGCTCGGATCCAATCATGTCACTTCCCTCTCTCCACAAACTCCAATGATTCTTTATCACCTCTAGGATCAAATATAAAATCATCTGTTTGGCATTCAAAGTCCCTCCCCACTTTTAACATAGCACCCTCTACTTTTCTACATCTTATACCTCAAAGCCCACAACTCACATGTACTCTTTGATCCAGAAACACTGGTTTCTGTGCTGTTCATTGAACAAGACACTCTATCTCCCAATTCTGGGCATATTCACTAACTTGCCCTCATACCTGGAAAGCTCTCATCCTCATTTCTGCCTTCTGGATTCACTGGCTTATTTTAAATGTCAGATAAAATCCCATCTTCTATAGAAAGCCCTTTCCAATCTCTCTTAATTCTAGTGCCTTCCCTCTGTTGGTTGTTTCCCCAATTTTTCTTGTATATGGCTTATTTGTACACAGAGAGGTGGGGAAGGGAATAAGCATTATATGGCACTTGCCATGTGCCAGGCATTGTGCTGAGCACTTTATGAACATTATCTCATTTGATCTTCACAACAACCCTATGAGGTACTGTTATTATCGTCATTTTAGAATTGAGGAAACTGAGGCAAACAGAGGTTAAGTTACTTGCACAGGGTCACATAGCCAGTGATTGTCCAAGGTGGGATTTGAAGTTAGGTCCTCATTACTGCAGGCCTAGAACCCTATCCATTGTACTACCTAGCTGCTTGTGTAGTCATTTGCATGTTGTCTCCCTAAAAAGATTGTGAGTTTCTTAATGGCAGGAATTGTTTTATTTTGTTTTGTTTTGTTTTGTTTTTGCTTTTTT